CCCCAAAACCCCAAAACCCCAAAACCCCAAAACCCCAAAACCCCTTATAATAAAATTAGGTTTGAACTATAAGAAAATAAAATTTTGAGTAAGTCATGGAAAATCAAGGTGATAAGTATGGAACAAGTCTTAGAGAGTATAAAGTACTCAATCTATTGGGAAAAGGATCCTTCGGATCCGTGTACAAGGTGCTTTCAAGAAAGACAAGACAGATTTATGTTATGAAATAAGATCTGAAATCTATCTACTTTAAATAAAGCATACAGGAATGCAGCGAGAGCTGAAGTGGATAATCTGAAGAAACTAAATCATCCTCATGTTATTAAATTAATGACTTCTTTTGAAGAAAACGATTGTCTATATATTATTCAAGAATACGCCCAGAACGGTGATATTCATAAAATAATCAAATAGGCAAAGGGATAAAGAGAAAAAGAGAATTAAAGAAACACAGCTGTGGAGCATTTTATATGAAATTCTCCTTGGCCTTAATCACATGCATTCTAATAATGTGATGCACAGAGATCTTAAGCCTCTCAACATTTTTATGACATCTACTCATAATATTAAGATAGGTGATTTAGGAGTCAGTAAGATTATAAATTCATCAGAAAAAGAAAATCAAGAAGAAAATATTGATGAGTCTAAGGTGGGAACCCCTCTCTATTTTGCTCCTGAGCTTGTCAAAGGGAAACTATATGATTTAAAGATAGATCTTTGGGCTGTAGGAGTGATTATGTACTACCTTACAGCTTTGAAACCACCTTTTGCAGGTGAAACAATTCCTGAACTAAATGAGAGTATTTTGAATTGATCTCCAAAGCAGCTTCCAAAATATTATACGACAAGGTACAAAACACTTATATACTCACTTTTGGCCAAAAACCCTAAAGATCGACCAAACACCGAAGAAGCGTTAAAATCGATTCCTGATTTAATAATCAATGCGTACAATTCAGAATTGAAGTTTTTAAAAGTGAGAGAGAAATGTGGAGCCATCAGTTCTCGTGAGTCTCCTACCAAGAATTGAGACATTCCTCTGGAAGTGATTCCGATCCCTATTGATAAGAAGATTGTTAAAATGGACTCTAAAAATCTCAAAAGACCGATCTCAGGGTGTCAGAGACGCAAAAATAGCAAATCTCAAAAATTAAATGTGAGAACTGTTCAAGCTACTAATAAAGCCAATATAAGATTTAATTTGAATGAAGAAAAAGTCAAAGTCTATCCAAATATTTTGAACAATTTTCCTATTAGTACTTCTAACAATGACTACTGGAAACCTACAATCGATCAGATAACAGTAGAGGAAGTATGTCCTAATGTAGGATCAGGAAGGAGGTATTTAGATGGCTTAACATTATTTAGAGTCTCTGTCTGAGATAATGCAAAGAAATTAGATGATACTTCTTCTAAAGAGTATTACTTAATTCAGGAGCAAATTAAAGATGACAATAAAGCAAAGCGTCCACCTGATAGAATCACTATCAGCCAAAAAGTTAGAGCTTCTTCAACCAGAATGAAAAAGATCTATCCTCAAACAGGTTTCGCTCATTCTCCTTTTGAAAATAAAGTAAGTTGTGAGTATCAAATTTAGTTTTATGATATCAGTAAGAAAGGTCCTGTAAAAATATCAAGTAAGCTTAAGATCGCAAAGATCTCATTTAGTAACCTCATTTATGACTTTCTAGATGACGAAAGTACCAAAGCGACTATAACATGCATGAAAAATCATTCCAACCGGATTCAAAAGAATTCGATTGATGGAAACACACTTGATGGATACAACAAGATTATTGATAACAGAAGCACTACTAAAAGAATCCTCATGAGCAGGAGACAAAGGGCCAGACCAAATATCAGCATGCTAAGAAAGAATGAATCTCAAGATACTCAGAATAACTTCTTCTACTGAAGTTGCTCTGATGCTGATTCAACTCCTCAGACAAGGAATTCCCTAGGTAAACTCAAAAGTTTCAACTCTTCTTCCTCTGTAGTATTTTATTAATTCAGTATGTAGAATCTAAAAAGGCTTCTAAGAAATGAAATCTTTCGACTGTTGGACAATACAAAGAAGTTGAGAATCACCCACAGAAGACGAAGAAGATACATCTTCGTAAAGGTATAACAGTAGCTTCATCTCTATAGCTGAGACTGCAAAGTTCAGAAAGCCTCACAAGGTTCAGAGGAATGTCTTTCAAGGCTCTATTAAGAAGAGTAATATGCTAATGAAAACTCATGAGAGCATTTCAAGGGCAAGAACAAGTGGCACTGCCAAGGTAATACTTTATGTTAACTTTTATAGTCCCAAGTTAGAGAGAAATTTACCATAAAAGACCTTCAAGATTAATAATTCGAATGGGGTTTTGGGGTTTTGGGGTTTTGGGGTTTTGGGGTTTTGGGG